CTAGATAGGTTGAGCCAGCTGTCACTCACGCAGCTCGGTGGCTATCGACAGTAATGTTGGGTTCTGTACCGGCTGCGGCGGTCTCAGTATACCACGAGCTGTAGCTCGCTATATACTGAGCTTTGAGTCACGGGAGGATGCTAGTATATGTCCTCCCGTGACCTATAAGAGAACTATGGGGAAAAACACTTACCCCCAAAGTTCTCTTTTAATGTTTTCTATATCACTGACCCAAGCTAAGCACCGACCGCTGATCTATATACTAGCTAGAAGTCATAGTCAAAGTATTCAAGCCTTTAGATCAGCTTATTAGCCAGAAAGTTCAGCAATGACAGCCTGTTATTTCTCGGCACAGGCCTCACTTAGCTCAGATTGCCAACTATGTGTTGCATTGATACTTGTTCTAGTGTGCGCTAACAGAACGCATAGCAGCCCAACTCAATTTGTATAGTTGATTAATTCCCTATGGCACCCCAACTCACAAGTACATTAGGTGCAGACAGCAAACACTAATAATTTGCTTCTGGTCCTGTTTTTGCTACATCATGGCGCGTTACAACATGCATCTTAATACTTATGTGATAAGGCAAAGGCGTGAAAAGGGGGACCTAAAGCAGAAATGTTTTTATTTTAAATCTCGTGGGTAACAAATGGTTAAAAGAGAACTATGGGGTAACCTTTTTTCCCCCATAGTTCCCTTTAGGGTCACGGGAGGACATATATTAACCTGCTTCCGTGACCTAAAGCTCAGTATGTAGTGGGCTATTGCTCGCTATATACTGAGAGCGCCGCAGCCAGGATGGATCTTGACAATACTGTCAAGATCCACCCCGCTGGCTGATTGACAGCAGGCTCTGCCTATCTAGAGGAAGAGCCAGCTATGCCCGCCCCCTCCCTTATCCATTCCTCCAGTAAGCGCTGGAGGATCAGAGAGGAGGGGGGAAATCCCTGCGGGGAGTGTTGACTGAAAGTCACCGCTCTCTGCAGGGAGATGATCGGGAAGGGAGCGAGCACTCATACACAGAGGGCGTCCTATCATTCGCCCGCCCCTTGTCCATTCATGGAACATTTTGTATTCCGAAAACCATCCTCAAAAATGTAAAGCCTTCTGTGAATGGACAAGGGGAGAGATAGTACGGCTTCCGTGTAGGAGAGCCTCAACTGTTGTCGCCGCACAAGATGTACAGTAAACCCTATAGTTCTGGGCAGCAATTTAGATTGTAAATAGTCAAGAAAGGACAGCAATCTATGTGTTACCCAGCAGATAAAAAAAACCACAATGTGGGGAATTTACTAAGACTGGAGCAGACAAAATCTGTGCATGGCAACCAATCAGCTTAACCAAACAAGCTGAAGATAGAAGCCAATTGGTTACTATGGACAGCTGCTCTGGTATTAGTAAATTCCCCCCATTGTATCCTGGACTGAACGGAAGCTGTATATTTAAATATAGTGAAAATTACTCTTATAATAAAGTGATTGGATTTACATATACCATAATTACAACAGGATTACTTGGCCAGCTTAGATGGTGAGTGGAGTTCTTTACTTAATGCAGAGCAGAAAAGGAAGGTAGGCCTGCAATACTTATGTATAGAGTGTGCCAACCATAAAGATAGCATTCATCACACCGCCATAGAGCCTTCATAGACAGCGGCAAGGTACAATGCAGATATTGATCACAGATATGGATCATCTATAAATCAGCAAATGCAGCTAGATTCCATTGAGGGACAGCTGATTTGTTGTGAGTATGATCTGGATATGTATTTTTTTACATTGAAGTTGTTGAAGCTGTATAAGAAGGCTCTGTGATGGAAACTTGAATTATTTCAGGAAAGTCAGGTGAAGAAAACAAGGAAAAAGCACAAAGTGATGACCAGGGTCTTCCCTCCCATCATGGGGGAACCAGCACAGGGGCTCCTACACTATGCCTACAGGCTGCGGCCATCCAGGTGAGGAGACCTGCTGCTCCCCGGTGTTGTTCCCTGCCAGCAGGGTGACCTTCCACCATGATCAGACAGGAGGACACAGCTGCCGCCCCTGTCCTCACCCTTACCCCTCACTAACCCTGGCTGCTAGCCTGGTGTCACACACACCTCCCTCTGCCCCAAACCTACCATTTTATCTCCACCGATCACCCAACTCCACAGCTCAGAGGTGTCAGCGCGCACGCGCGGTCCCCACACTGACAGCCCGCCCCCTGGCGCAGAGTACGCCGGGAATTGTAGTCTCTTCCACGTAGGGCAAACACTAATGTGGGGGGTGGGGCTGCAATAGAAAAGGATCCGCCCATAGCAACGTAATAGCGTGGCTGACAACGCATTAATCTATGTTTTCATTACTCATCCCCTGTATAGATATGCTTTGCAGTGATCCGATATTTACCTTTCCTTACAGCGTACGCATGAGGACGAAGGTCTGGAGAATTCCGTGCTAGTTTATTACTGCTGTGCCGCGGAGCGCTCCCTGAGCGTGTCACGTGCCGCCGGTGTACGGCGCACGGACAACGTCATCAGTACACTACAGTGCCCAGAACCCCGCGCGTGGCGCGAAGTGGTGACGGGCTCGGGATGTATGTTGTGGAAGTGTTGCTGGCTCGGGGAGTAGTGCAGCTTGGTGACGCTGGCAACTGCTGTAGCTGGCCGGCAGGAAGACGTATGGCAAGACAGTCATGAGAGGAACGGGGACCAGCGACGCAGAGTGAGAGGTGTGAGTATGAGTGGTCCGGCTCTGCACAGCCTTGGTGCCGCCGTGATATTGCACCCCTGTACACACCCACCCAGGAAGTGCTTACTACAATGTTGTCAGTAGAACTCATGAACACACACCACCCATTGTATATATGACTCTGACAAGTGCAGGTCCAATGGAATTAGAGAAACCCACCAGTTCCTTTGTAGCCAGTTAAATGCATGGAACATTAACATGTAAAATTATTTTTTTTCCATTCAATAAAATGAAAGGTAGAAACACGTGAGAAGAAATAGGTGTATGTGTGTATGGTGCAGTGCAGTTGTTGAGTCTGGAAATCTGGGAATGTTTCTGAGAACTGGTTTTCAAACCAGGGAAGCGATCCTGGAAAGATTTTGTTAGCCACCATTGGGTTTTTGCAAGACTCAATATTTAGCCTCATATGATATTTCTGAAGCTTTGTCTGTAAATGCTTTATATTTACCGTAATATTTTATTGTGCATGATTAAAAATCCCATTTACAAAGGAGAGCAGATACCATTTTCTGGTTTCTAAAAATTCAATCTTCATTCATAAAATGCAGACCGTGGTGTGGAGCCTGTGGTGTCCTCAGCATAACGATGCAGATAACACTACATGATTGGATGTCTTTGACAGGTCATGTGACCAGGGTCTCTTCCTTTGAGCCCCCATTCATTAATTTGAATAGCTTATTTTAGAATACCAAAGCAACTGTGCATTTATTTTTTTAAGAATGGTATGGCCATGGTAAAGCTACTTTTTACATCAGCCCCTGAGTTTGCCTGAGCTGATATCCTCCTGAGGGCTGCTATTTGAGCTTATGCTAAGAACATGCTGCCTCTTAGCACATAAGTTCTCATAACAGCATCAAACACACAGCACTGTAGCTATTTTACATTTCTCCTAAACATTTACAAATTAACCCCCTATTGTTCCTCGAGGCTTGGGCTGAAAGTCAGGACTTAACCACTTGAATGCCATCAAGATGTAAGCAGTTCCAGTTCAAAATACTCCACTTACCTTTTTTAATTAGCAAACCACAGTGTTGGTCATGACTGCCCTAGATGTAAGACCACTAGAGCTGCAGCTAACGATTATTTTCAAAATCGATTAGTTAGCCGACTTTATCTCTCAATGCTTGCTATGTTTCCATAAAGATTGTTGATGACCAAGTGATATTTCATGTGATACTTTCTGATTGATGTATGGGGAAAAACTTTTTTCTCTCTTGACAGTTCTAGAAATTATGTAGACGTAGTCCCCTGTTCTCATGTGACAGTGCTATGAAATTAGTTGCATGGGAGAGAGTTGTATGTACCTCCATACATGAAAGCATATTTATTTTCTTTACCTGTGTTTTGGAAATGAACCTGTTCCTATTTTCAAGCATTAAAAAAGTAAAGATTCTCCCTAAAATAAGACACAGAGATATAATGCTTCATTAGCCAAGTATGAATTGTCAATGTCCCTCTTTGATCAAGGGTTTCCAGGGGCCTGACTTCATGTCTATACTGTTTTTGTCTAGAGATGAAATTAATGCTGTTGAGATCAGTTTTTGCTTTATCCCTTCACACAATTCATATAATGTGATTGCATGGCAAGTAAGTATATTTAATAGGACTTGCTTATGTTTCCACATAGTAAATAAACACTCCAACATACAGTAAATTACAGTTGTAGAATGAAAGTTTTTATCCAACTAGTTGCTATGGGGTTGAATGGGCAACTCTTAAGGTGCCCATACACCTGCCAATTATCGTACGATAATCGCGGGAAATCCTGCGATCGTACGATAATCGGCAGGTGTATGGAAGGCGTGCGATCGTTTCTACTGTACGGTCGCACGTCTTTTGTCTCCCGAGCAGGCTTGAAAACCCGCCAACTATCGTACGATTTGTCGGCGGGTTAGTGGCATTCTATGAAGACACATGCCGAAAGGGCCGGTGTGTGCAAGTGCACACTGCCCGCTCAGCATTGCAGTCATCGGAAGCCCTCCCTCAGCGGGGCAGGCTTGCGATGATCGCAAGTACGATCTGCCTGTCCAAGATGGGCAAATCGTACAAGCTTTTAATTACCTTACGAAATGCCTTACGAAAGTCTCGCGATGGTTGTAAAGTGTATGGCCGGCTTTATAGAAGACACTAAAAATATGTCTGAGAATGAATTATGGGATCACAAGTTCAATCTAGGAGATTGGTATAAGTTTTTCTATCATTGTTTTAAAATCCTTTAAACTATAGTGCTTGAATAAATGATATTTCACCATATTATCTCCTAGAATATTCAGCCATGTGCACAGTAACAAGACCATCTGAAGATTCTGCGTTTCAATGTTATTTCTACCAGTAGCAGAAAGAAGCCATGAAGACTTGCGTCCTGTGGGTTTTACCTCTGCAGCTATGTTGCCACCTGATGCTTGCCGCAGAGCACGAAGGGGTAGCTAAACATGCCATCAAGCTATATCGAGGCAAAGGAGCCACAGCCAGCCAAAAAAAGGAGTGGCTTCTCAACAACTGCCGAAAACTGTCTGGGCTACTACGCCAGAAGAACGTGGTACTTAATAAACTGAAAAACGCTATCAAGGCTGTGGAAAAAGATCCTGGACTGTCCCCCGAAGAGAAGCTCTTTCAAGTGCACACATTTGAAATCTTCCAAAAGGAGCTAAATGAGAGTGAGAACTCTGTGTTTCAAGCAGTAAATGGCCTGCGCAGGGCTTTGCAGGGAGATTACAAAGATGTAGTGAACATAATAGAAAGCAGCAGACAGAGGCTGGAAGCTTTAAGAGAAGCTGCCATCAAGGTTTGTAATGTTTCGGAGCATGTCTGTGAAATTTGTACCCATTCATTGAAAAGATTTGGCTCACAATTGCTGTTCCAATTCATCTCAAAGGTGTTCAGTAGGATTGAGACCATGTCTGTGTGTAGACCGCGGAAGTTATTCCACATCAAACTCATCAAACCATGTCTTTATGGCCTTGGCTTTGTGAACAGTGGCACAGTTATGCTGGAACAGAAAAGGGGCTTTCCCCTAAATTGCTGCCACTAGGTTGGAAGCGCACAGTTGTCTAAAATGTATTTGTATGCTGTAGAACAGCATCCTTCACTGGAATCACATAAATTCAATCTTAAGGAGGGATGGCCACATATTTCTGACCGTACAGCAGAGGAAATCCCTTTGTAGGCAATTGTCACAGGAACAGTTGTTCCAACTGGAAGATTTCTGTTGCTGTGACAACTCATAAAAGTTTGGATTTTCTATCAATTTTTGTATTGGAGACCATGGTAATCAGGACAAACCGAGAGTGAGTCTACCCCGGGTTCATAGACGGCAATTAAATCCTGACAGAGGTTTTCCTCACTCTATCATAAAAAAAAAAAAAATTTGCATTACACCTTCAAAACCTTATTTAAATGTCTTTTTTTGGGGGGCTGCTAATTAGGATAATTGTATCAAAAGTATACACTTATTAGTAAAGATTCCAATTGTCTGCATATAACTGAATGGATCCTTATGTATACTGTCTCAGTCAAACGGTCATTTAAGCAACAGAGGTAATCTAGAATAAAAGTGGCCACTGAATAAGAAGCATTCTATTCTGGATGTACAGCGGGCCTCTATACTAGGGCTGCAACAACTAATCGACATAATCGATTATAATCGATTATTGAAAAAGTTGTCAACTTACCCTTCAATCTCTACAGGGAACCAGAAATGAGAGGTCAATCTGAGCTGCCCCTTGTCACTACACTGCCGCTGCCATTTTTTCCAGGTCCATATTCTTACTTTAGCCTTTGGTAGCCGGCAGGTAACATAACCCCGACTCAGACACACAGGAGTTTCATTATCCCGGCACCCATCTTTTACAAATGTTGGGATGGTGCATGCTGGATGGAGTTTACTTGCTTTCTGGGGTTGCGCAGTAAAGCGAAGCTAAAACCTCCTATCCTTTTACAGTCAAGACGGTGCCATCCTTGCATCTGTTTAGATCTGCAGGTGCCATGGTGCTGCACATGTGATCGGCTATGACATCAGCCATTTCAGGGCTTACAAGTTCCGTTGAGAGCTGCCATAAGCTCATTAGCAACTGTAACAGACATCAACAGAGGCATGCCTTGAATGTAACAGTTTTGGAAAAAGTTATATGGGTGGGTTTGAGTAACTCTAGTTCTGTCATAGTTTTACAGAGATTTGTAGCGGCAGCTGTGTCTGTTTCTAAGATATCAGTGGACGTTTCTTCCTGTCTCTTAACTGTGCTGTGTGTCTGATTACTGATCTTGTCTAGGAAGAGAAGGAATATGTGGAACTTATGGCAGCTGAAAAGCATCAGGTGGAGGCACTTAAGAACATGCAACACCGAAATAAAAGTCTTTCTATGCTTGATGAGATTCTTGAAGATGTGAGAAAAGCTGCTGATAGGCTCGAGGAGGAGATAGAAGACCATGCTTTTGATGATAACAAGTCTGTAAGTATTGTGCTATAACATGTTTGAGCAACTTTTGGTTACATTTGCCTACATTTGAATAAACAAATTAATAGTAAGACCGTGTTCTACTGTCAGGGTCGGACAAATCCCAGGAATCAGGTAGCCACTTCTACTTAAAATAACAGCTTGTGCCTAGTTTTCTCCAATTGTTGTCAATGGAGCCAACAAAAAAACCTGCTGGCTCCTGGATTGGACTGACTGGCTCCTGAATTCCATATTAATTTGGCTACCACTGTCTTGAGTTAAAGGATAACTGGCAGTGCATTTTGTAACAAAGAACATCAGAATATACATTTCCAGGAAAATGTAAATTTATTTGCATTATTTGCAGGGACTAACTTGTCCAGTTCACACAGTAATACTGTTACCAGTAAAAGGCTTTTACATTTTTTGGAATAATACAAATTGTGTGCATCATTAGATTTAGACGAGATCTAACGAGTTTATGCAGGAACTCACAAAAGTGTGACTGTTAATTGAACATTGTGAGCCCTAGTGGTACACATAAAGTCTGTATAATACCATGAAAACACTGTGATGGAGTATATAACATAGAGCTTAGAGTTCAAGGTGGAGCAGTGTGGCATATGTAACATACTTCAGGCGATGTATGTTCCATACTGCATAGCATAGGGAATTGTATAACAATGTGATTTATGACGTACTGTGTGGAGAGGACACTCCCTAATGCACCCTTGTACACTCGGCATATACGCCTTTAGCATCTCATACTTGTCCCACAGCTCTTATCAGTGGATCATAAAGCTGGCCATACACTTATACATTATCTGCAGAATTTCTATGGTCAGATGGAAAAAAGAGCAACAGATTCCTCCATCTATGCTAAACTGTGTGGATGGAGGATTCTCCCACTGGGCCAAGCTTTAGTATCTTGCTAGTCGGCCCCGCTGGCTCTCAAAATACCTGAACAATTTGATTGGATGCCGGCATTGTTCAGGTATTTTGAGAGCCAGCGTGGACGACCAGCAAGATACTGAAGCTTGGCCCAGTGGGAGATTCCTCCATCCACACAGTGTAGCCTAGATGGAGGAATCTGTTGCACTTTTTCCATCTGACAATAGAAAATCTGCAGATAATCTATAGGTCTATGGCCAGTTTAAGACGGACAATTGGCAGGTAGGTCTGCACATTCTGGCAAGCAGCCGTCATTTTCCTAGAGCTTTTCTCCGATATGAAGCACTGCCCGCTTCCTGCATATCACTTTCCAGCCCCTCCCCATGCTGGTCCTGTTAACGCTTCCTGGATTTTGTCTTTCATATAACAATGGGATTGATACCTAATCTACTGGCTTTTTGTGTACTGTGTGCTGGTTGGCTATCTTCACTCTCTTGGAAAACCATTTAATGATATATTGTCGTATAAAAATGTGTTTCCTGTTCTTGGTGGTTACATGGGCAATAATAAGCAACCTAGACATTTTTGACACTTACACAGTCATATTTTACTAATTTTAAGGTACTTTTATGGTGAATTTTCATTCTTAAATGCTCGCTCTTCCAAAGATTGCATTAAAAATAGAGATTCTAACAATAGCCATTCAAAAACGGTAAGATTAGTTACAAATAACACTGCTTAACCACTTGCCGCCCAGAGAATTTTCTTACTGTTTGCAAACACATGATAAAATATAAATTTTTGGCTAGAAAACCGCTTTAAACCCCCAAACAATGATATATTTTATGAAAGCAGAGGCCCTGTAGAATAAAAAAATGCTAGTTGCAATTTTTTGACACATGGATTTTGCGCAAACCAGTATTTTTAGGAAAAAATAAACAAAATTAAAATTTAGTGCACAGAAACATAATATAATACCCAGTTTTTTGGTAAAATATAAAAGGCGGGGTCACGTCGGGTAAATGGATACCAAACATGTCAAGCCTTAAAATTGCGTTTGCCCGTGAAGCCGCAAAAAACGTCAATACCCCAAATTTCTCATAGGGAACAATTTAAACGCTTTTACCACTCATCAGTTTAGTGTTATCAGTGATTGAATGGCCTCGAATGATTGCTTTCACTCTGACGTTCGCGGTGAAATGTAACTTCACCTAGGGACCCCAAGGAAGTTGAGGAAGCAGAGATCTGCTTCATCAGCTTCATCTCCTGGCTCTATGAGCCAGAGACTGTAGATAGTGACACCAGAAGTGATGTAATACTGGAAGCCGCTGAATCTCTCTCCGATCATTGCAGGCAGACCGGCCAAGCCTGTCCCGGGCGCCGCATGGGGACAGCGTAACCTGGGGAAACTGACGGCGGCAGCAGCCGTGTTCTTGTTTTAACCACTTCTGCATGCCGCAGTCTATAGACAGACATATAGTGGCCTGGAACAGCTGTTAAAGTGAGACTAAACCCCAAAAGAAATTTGTATTGGAGCTTATCAGTCCTACGATGAGAAGGCTGCATTAGTTTCCCTGCTATTTTCCCTTTATTTTCACCTGGTGATCCTGAGAAGGATTTTTTGCTTGAATTTCAGTTTGCAGGAAGTGACAATGACACTTCTGGCAAGATCAAGAGGTATTTTCTGTACTTGCTAAAAATATTCCTAGCCAAAAAAAAAAAGTGTCCGTCACACTGGAGTGCATTGTTTTTAATGAGTATGCTGACTTAGACTTGAATTGTAGGAAGCAGTAAAGCACAACTGTTGTGTAGCACTTCAGAACCTGCACATGTAGTGACTAATTACAGAAATGTGGGTGCTGCCATTGCTTACCTGTCTCCGATCTCAGTTTTTTCTAATTCCTAAACTCTGAACAAGCTTTGGATCAACATACAGTCCAAGTGGCTAACCTTTCCAAGAGGAACGTTCAGCTAAAGCAGCCTATGTATTTTCTTAGAACAGGTTTCCTATAAGTGGTCAGTTTACAACTATTACAGGCAGTGTTACAGTATCATACCAAAAAATGTTACAATTTTAATGTGACAGGAAAAATTTATTTTTCAAAGAGGTTTAGACATTGTTTATTGGCACTTTATATATCTATATACTCAGTGCCAGCTGCAACACGTTCAGTGTTTTTCCCACTTGGGTTGTAATATTGTGTGATATAGTGCTGGGTTGTTGCCGTGCGTTGCTGAATCTCCGTGAAGCAGGATGTAGCTCCTCTTGGAAGTCGTTCTTGTGTACTCCTTGTTCCACAAGTGATTTGTCACTGACATCTTGTAGTTACAGCCAGAAAGCCCGGTTTTCGTTTTTCAGTATTAGAGTATACTGTATTGTGTGCTGCGCTTGCAAGGTTGCCACTTTAACAGACTGTCATCTTCTTCAAACTATATAACTGGTGTATATATTTTTTTTTCTAGGGACTATGAACCTTGTTCATGTTATAAATATATAATCTTTGAGGAAAGATAATATGCTATAGAAAGAGAAGATCCTCAAGCTGTGAATGTTTTTTGTAACAAGAAGTTTTATTAGGTTTGTTCATATAAAACATATACAATAAGGGAAAACAAAAAAAAAAACAAGGTGTGAAAGTGATTGTTCCTTATTGCACAAATTGTTACATATACAGTAACTGACAATGTCCAAAAAAAGCATAAAAAAATTGGAGCTGTTGCCCAAATAATGCACATGTCACTCCCATTTTTGTTTCAAGAAAGTTCTAGTTGCTACACATCCCATGCATTTTCCATTCATTTTAACAGAGCCAAGATGAGTGTGATAGTGATGCCAGTAACATCTACAAATAAATGGATTGTTCAATCCAGACTTCTCATTTGTAACTGCTGTATCAGAAGAAAAGAGGTTCTAATTGTTGCTATGGATTACTGCACCTAGGATTTAGAACTCTTTATTGAATAAAGGCAAATGTGTTTTTAAGGATGTATGCTGCCACAGTGCTTTTTCTTAAAATCCACATTATATATATATATATAATGTATTATACATACACACAGTTCAATTCTTCTGCATTACTGGTTTTAGGTTCCTCCAGTGTTTCTGAAGCCACATAACTGCATTTCTATTTCATAATTCAACACATATCCTAATACTTTTCTATTTAATAGTGAACATTCCTGTTTTTCTATTTTTTGTTGTCTGACACCTAAAAATACAAATGGTTGAAAAAGCCGTTGAAAACAACAACAAAAAGTTACCTTGGCTTGCTTCCAGGTGACAGGTGACGTCGTTGGTGCTCTGAGAGCTAGGCGCTGCAATGGTCTGAAGCACATTTAAATTAGATTTTGTGTTCGCATCTCTCAGGCAGCAATGTCACCTCCACCTTCTGAAAGTGTTGGAAGCCAGGCTAAGGTAAATACCTGCCTTAAGTTTTAACTTCAAATTGTGTTCATCCACTACATTGGGACATCCTATGGCATGACTCTCTTTAGGTTTAAATAAGCCTGCTTTGAGAGGTGTTGGCCATTAAAGCTTTCCTCCTACTGGAGATTCCAATTCTATGCCTGTCTTTGGATTCAATACTGAGTCACTAAAACAATGCAACGTGTGAACTCAGAAGTGATGACCGCATGTGTGAAATGTGTAATTGTTCCAAGTCATTGACACAGAATGATATTTAGAGCATTAGTAAGGCAGCAAGCATTTTCACAAGGAGTGGCCTGCAATGGCAAATGAGCTGAGGTGAGGTTTGCTGGAATGGATAAGTAAATAGTAACAGAAGGGCTGAAATACTTACCTTTAGTTCTGCCTATGTGTTATTGATCTGTGGGAGGTCATAGCAATATTGCCATTTTTCTAATGACAGAAAACTATAAAGAATTATTACAAATCTGTAGTATGGTGATATATTGCAGAAGGATCTTGACCAAAAAGGGGAAGGTAAATAAGAAATAGAATTTAAAGTAGAACTGTGTCAAGATCTTCAAAAGGCAATGCGCAGAGCAGATAGGTAGCCCAACAGCCAACTGAAGGAGCATGCACAGTAGGCTGACAACACTACTGCAAATTGCAAGGCAGTGGCTTAGTGTTGTCCTCTTGCAACAGAAAGTTGAAATTGAAC